ACAGAACCCTCTGAGACCCAAACCCACCGGACCAGAACCTCAGTGTCCTAAAGGTTCTGAGTCTCTGAGGGTTCTGGGTCAACCTGCTTTGATCCGGTCCATGGTATCACTTGGTTCTGGTGGGTTCTGTGTTCTGACAGGAGGAGCGGGTGCAGCTGCAGAACCAGGAGGTCCAACTGAACAAAGAACTGTCAGCAGCTCAGCAGGAGAACCAACATCTGACCCAGGTTCTGCAGGAGGCCCGGGAGGAGCTGGTCCAGCTGCAGAGACAGCTGCAGGACCAGAACCGGGCCAAAGACCTGTTGCTGGTGAGTCAGAGTCTGAGGACAGCAGAACCACCCATGGTGATGGTGATGATGATGATGGTGATGATGGTGGTGATGATGGTGATAGTGATGATGATGACGATGATGATGGTGATGATTGTGATGATGGTGATGATGATGATGATGATAAAGATGATGATGAACATGATGATATAAAGAATGATTATGATGATGATGATGATGATGATGATGATGAAGATGATCTACTCCAACAGGAACACAGGTCTCAGATGAAGCTGGTAGAAAAGCAGCTCAGAGATCTGACTGTAGAACATCAGCTGCTGCTGCAGGCCTCCCACAAGGTGAGAACCTCCTGTTGCTCCTCCTCCTCATTAGACCCCTCCTCCTCCTGCTCCTCCTCATTAGATGGTGGTTGCACCTCCTGCAGGTCCAGGAGGAGCGTGACGAGCTGCTGAGGCGTCAGAAGGAGAGCCTCCTGGAGGTGCAGCAGAGGAGCGGGCTGAAGAAGCTGCTCCTGGAGGAGAAGCTGGCAGCTCTGACAGAGACCCTGGAGCAGAAGGAGGCGCAGCTCAACGCCGCTCGCTCCGTCTGCAGTTCTGACCCGTTGGAGCGCAGCACCGCCGCCACCAAGCTACAGGTCTGTGAGGTCCTCCTGTCTGGACATCCTGTCTGGACCTCCTGTCAGGTCCTCCTGTCTGGACATCCTGTCTGGACCTCCTGTCAGGTCCTCCTGTCTGGACCTCCTGTCAGGTCCTCCTGTCTGGACCTCCTGTCTGGACCTCCTGTCAGGACCTCCTGTCAGGACTTCCTGTCAGGTCCTCCTGTCTGGACCTCCTGTCTGATCCTCCTGTTAGGACTTCCTGTCTGGACCTCCTGTCTGGACCTCCTGTCAGGACCTCCTGTCTGGACCTCCTGTCAGGACCTCCTGTCTGGACCTCCTGTCAGGTCCTCCTGTCTGGACCTCCTGTCAGGACCTCCTGTCTGGACCTCCTGTCAGGTCCTCCTGTCTGGACC